AATTCAGTGTTTGCAGTGACTGTATAGAACAGGGCTGCTGCAAATAACAAGAACTGACTGTGAAGGATCTAAGAGTGTGGTTGTAGAGACTGTTCCAGAGGAATCTGAAGATGCCACCTCTGCCCGGCATTGTTCAGATTCCTGGGCTCAGCTGTCCAAGGAGGCTCAGCTCAGAATCTTGTCACTTCTCTAGGTCCTTCTCTTCCAAGGTCTTTTCTTTTACTGTTGCCATTTTTATCATCCTCTTTTCCTGAGACACTTTTGTCAGTGCCACTGTGACAGAACCTGTCTTTGTTTTATCCCAGTTCACATGCCAGGATCCTCATGAGTGTGAGAGGCTTGAGGGAGGCATGGGGGGGGGGCTCTGTTTATCACTTGTGCTGTCTGTTTCCTCTCCGTTCCTCTCTTCTGTTTGTTCTGTCTTCAGATGTGCTCAGATTTCCTATTAAAATTTTTCTCTCTTCCATTGTTTTCCTGCCTTTGCTCTTTTTATTTTCAGTGCCACATTTCTCAAAGAATATTCTCAGCCCTTTGGCTCCATTTCTTCATTTCCTGCTTCTTTTTCACTTAGTCATATAATGTGACATGATGCACAGTGTCTGATTATTTATTAAAATGTGGATATGAATGTTTTAAAAATGAACAGTTCCTAGTTTAATTGAATTTAGCTCTGAAGTTAGAAGGTCATGATCTGTATATCAATTCTATTACTTAATTACATCACTTATTAAGGCCACTGGAGCTTTCAGAGCATTCTTCAGAGGAATATCATGGAATATCTACAAGGCTCGTATGTTAACTGAATCATAATGTGTGTGTAGTTGTTTAAATATTTGTTAAGAACAGTTCCTAGTTTAATTGAATTTAGCTCTGAAGTTAGAAGGTCATGATCTGTATATCAATTCTATTACTTAATTACATCACTTATTAAGGCCACTGGAGCTTTCAGAGCATTCTTCAGAGGAATATCATGGAATATCTACAAGGCTCGTATGTTAACTGAATCATAATGTGTGTGTAGTTGTTTAAATATTTGTTAAAATTTGAATATTCATGTTGTGATATACATTTCAAGCCAATCTATGGCTGATCTAGAGCATAATTTTGCCTTAATCATATGAAACTTTCTCAAATCCCACATCTGAACTTATGCTATTTTCATTGCTTAAAGGAAAAATTGAACCTTCAGAAATTGTCCAGAGTCTCGAGATGCTGGGTCTGAGTATTTCTGAAAAACAAGCAGAGTTGATTCTTCAGAGGTGAGTTCCTCATCTTACTGACAGTTGTTGACTTTCACTTTAATATCCTGCCTTAGCTACTGTGTAAGTGAGGCTTTAAAACCTTCCCTGTACCTCATCGTTCCTTATTTTATACACCGACCATCTTTCCTTCCTTCTTATTTTTATACATACATATGTTATCCACAGTACAGGGATGGGAGAGGGAAGACTAGACTGGACTAGTTTGTCATTGCAAGGCCTCTGGTAACTGGGACAACAGTAAGGTTAGAATTAGAGATAGGACATATGGGTTTGAGTATTACTTTTCTTTAATCCATTTGGTTTCTTTCTTGTTTTTAAAAATATTAGCATATGATAGTTATACAAGATAAGGGGCTTTGTTATAACATTTCCTACAAGTATTCAATGTACGTCAATCATAGTCACTTCTCCATCTTACTCTCTTGTTTCCTTTCTGCTGGTCTCCCTTACCCAAATCATTCTCATGTGTCTTTAAAAAAAAAAATCTCAAATTTACATATGAGAAGAAGCATATAGTATTTGGTTTTCTGAGCCTGGCTTATTTCTTCTTGTTAAGATGATCTTCAGTTCCATCTATTTACTTGCAAATGACATAATTTTATTCTTCTTTATAGTGGTCCATTCTCCTGTGTGTGTGCATGTGTGTGTGTGTGTGTGTGTCTCCCGTTTTATTTGTCCATTTCTCTGCTGATGGGCATCTAGGTTGATTCCATTTCTTGACTATTGTGAACAGTGCAACAATAAACATAGACATACAAGTATCTCTCTGGCGTACTGACTTAAAGTCCTTCAGGTATATTCCCAGAAGCAGTACAGTAGGGTCATGTGGCAGTTCTGTTTTGGTATTTTTGAGGATCCTCCATATTGATTGCCATAGAGGCTGCGCTGATTTACATACTCATCAACAGTGTATAAAGTTGCTTTTCACCCCTACATTTCTTGTTGCTTGTTTTCTTGATGAAAACTTATTCTGACTGGAATGAGATGAATCTCAAGGTAGTTTTGATTTTCATTTACCTGATAGCTAAGAATGTTGAACATTTTTCGTATATTTTGCTCCTTTATATTACTCTCTTAACTTATTTGCCCACTTGTTGATTGGATTATTTGTGGGGTTTGGGGGTTTAGTTAATTTTTTTACATTTATTTATATTTTGTGTGTGACATACATGTGCTTACATGTGCCATGGTGCATGTGTGGAGATCAGAGGACAACCTTTAGGAGTTGGTTCTAACCTCTACCATGTGTATTCCTGAGTTGAATTCAGGTTGCTAGGTTTGCATAGCAAGCACATTTATCCTCTGAGCCATATTGCTGATCCCTTGAATTAGTTTTTGTACAGTGTGAGAAACAGGTCTAATATCTGTCCTCTGCATGTCGATACCAGTTTAACCCAGAACCATTTGCTGAAGAGGCTAGCTTTTGATAAGAATCAGATGACTGATGGGTTTATTTCTGGTTACTCTATTGCTTTGACCTATGTGTCTGTTTTTGTGTCAGCACAATGTTATTGCTGTTGCTATGACTCTGTAGTATAATTTAAAGTCAGACTACCTCTAGCATTACTCTTTTTTATGTAGGATTGTTTTTAGCTATTTGGGGTCTTTTGGGCTTCCAAATATACCTTAAGATGGTTTCTTTAAGTTCTGAGGAATGCCAATAGAATTTTTATGTGAATTGCACTGAATCTGTAGATTGTTTTTAGTAATATGGTAATTTTAACAATATTGATTCTGCCAGTCTATGACCACGAGAAGCCTTCAATTTCTTTCTTCAGTATTTGTGTATAAAGTTTTCCTCTTAGAGATCTTTCATTTTCTTGGTTAGCTTTGTTCTTAGTCTTTTTTTTTTTTTTTGTAGCTATTGTGAATGAGACTTTTTTCTTGATTTCTTTCTTGGAATATTTATTATTGGTATAGAAAAACTACTGATTTTTATGTTAGTTTTGTATCCCACTATCTAAGAGTTTTCTTGTAGAATATTTAGGGTCTTTTAAGTATAGGATCATATCATCTAAAAATAAGTGTGACTTGACTTCTTTTCCTATATGTATCCCTTTTACTTTTTAATCTTGCCTTATTTCTCTAGCTAAGACTTCAAACACCATTAAATAAGTATGGACAGATGATACCCCTCATTTCTGATTTTAGAGAAAATTCTTTCAATTTTCCTCTATTCAGTATAATTTTGGCTATAGGTTTGTCACATATAACCTTTATTATGTTGAAGTATGATCCTCTGATTCCTTTTTCTTCTTGGGGCTTTTATCATGAAGCGATGTAAAATTTTGTCAAAGACTTTTCCTGCCTCTGTTAGGATGAGTATGTGTTTCTATCCTTGATACTACTACTATTTATTATTTTCATTTTATGTGTATGAGGGTATCGTCTGCATGCCTGTAAGTGCACCCATGTTGTGCAATGCCCGTGGAGGTCAGAAGAGGGCATTTGATTCCCTGGAACTGGAGTTACAGATGGTTGTTAGCTGCCATGTGGGTGCTAGAAATTGAACCTAGATCTTCTACAAGAGCAACCAGTGCTCTTAACCATTGAGCCATCCCTCCAGCCCCACCAATTATATATTTTGTATTTCTTTTTGCCACACTTGCTCTTTTTCATTGTATAATAGTCATCATTATTAGCTGCATAAAATTCACCATTAATAACCATGCCAGTGACTCAACATTCGGCTGTTTTGAAATTTCCTTCACCAAAGAAATTAATTTAGCCTCAGGCAAGTTCTTAGGCTTCAAGCAGACAGCAGCTAAATGCTTTGCTAAAATATCCCAGTTGCTGTTTAAGTCCTCACTTCCATCTCTCTCTGGAACATCTTGAGCTGGGTCTCTACTAGAATGACCCATCAAGCTCTACTTATGTCAATAAGAAACAGTAGTAGACAATTATATAGATTGCACTAGTAGTTAAAATACTCTCAAAAATAAACTTTACTTCCAGAGAGCTTCTGAAAACTCTGAAAGAACAGGTCTATGTCCATTTCCAGCATGTGGAAATGTCCAGTACTTTTGGCAAGGCTGCTGTAACTATAATACCAAGAGCAGACATGTTAATGAGACAGAAATGTCATTTATGGCGTAAATAAAAATTTAAAGAAAACGTTGGCAAACTAGATAGTGAAAATCCGTGCATGATTCTGCATTGCTCTCAGGAAAAGCTGATACCAGTGGCCAGTGGCCTAATTGTCAAGAAGCTTGTAAACAAGCTGTTTGTATTGCTCCTCATGCATTTAGAGAGATGTGTGTTAAGTCTAGCATGGAAAATGAGATGCCAGAATGTCTTAAAACTCAAAATCAAGAATTTGGTTTCTTAGAATCATTGATAATTTTCTTAACTCACTGAAAATTGGAGAAGAAAACGCATAGCATATTTTGAATCTATTTCAAAATCACATCCAAATATTTCAATGTTAGCATGTTAATAAATAACTTCCTGACCCACTGAGAGAAAAAAATGAACCACAAATCCATTCCCAATGTTTCATTGTCCAGTTTTTGTGTCTCAGTGACTGAGATGCTAAAGGCAGTCTTCCATGGGCTTTCTCTATGATATGTGGGTCCATTTTTCTCTAGGTTGTTAAGATTCTCTGAAAGGGCCATAAAATATATGATATTTCCAGCAACCTACCACTGTGAGTGGGATGTTTTTCCTGAGGATGCAATCCAGGGCTTCAGGCATGCAGAGCAAATGAACTACATCCCAAGTCCAACGGTGGGATTTTTACATTTCATAAGGATATTAAGTTGGAAAAGACATAATCATTCTGTAAAATGGACAATACTGTTAGTTGTATTCATCAAGTTATCATGTTCTTTTAATCATTTTAACTTTCAGCATTGACTCTGATGGGACAATGACAGTGGATTGGAACGAATGGAGGGACTACTTCTTATTTAACCCTGTGACAGACATTGAGGAAATTATCCGTTTCTGGAAACACTCTACTGTAAGTTTGCTTTGTGTATTTGTTACTTATTTGGAACTGTAAGCCACAGATATAATGATGTTGATGCAACATAGCTCTCTCTTCAAGGGAGATAAGATATAATTTAGTCTGAAGCTAAATGAGTGACCATGGTCTGGGAACATGATCTTGGTCACTTCAATTCTGTGTTCCAAAATGGTGACAGTTTCACAAAGTTTTTATAGTAACAGAACAAAGAAAATCATAAATCAAGATACTTTTCAAATACATTTGTGGAGATATCAAGTAGGTGGGTTACAGTAAAGTGGTGATATCTGTGCTGTAAGTCTCAGTGTCATCTGATGCCATTCTTAGCCTTTGGGTGGGTTGACAGTTGAGGCTGTTCATATTTATACATTCCAAAAGATTTACCAATAATGACAAGGATGTTAAGTTACATACAGAGGTGGGCAGCAAATGTCTATTAAGAGGGTTAAAGATAGCCTGAGATAATTTGGCTGTAGACTTGCAACAGTCCAGTCTTCCACATCACTGATTTCTAATCATGCAATCAGTCTTTGTAGGCAGAGCTTCTTAACAGGAATTCTGGTTTACAGTAGCTGCCACCTGAGAGCCCTTCTGGGTCTGGAGCCTAAGTCCCCATGGTCTAGAATGCTGCTTATTTTAAGCAAAGATGTATAGAGTACCTTTGAAGTCCCCAAGATGACATAAATGCGTAAATGCAATTGTTCTTTTTTCTTTTCCTTTTTTTTTTTGAGACAGAGTCTCTATGTAGCCCCAGCTGGCCTGAAACTCACTCTGTAGACCAGTGTGGCCTCGATCACACAGAGATTCTCCTGATTCTGCCTCTTGAGCACTGGGAGTTAAGACTTGTACTGCTGTGACTGGCTAAATGCAATTATTCTTAAAACTTGGAAGAAGTCCCACCTTGATGAATCAACTATGCAGCCTTTATTGGTATTTAAAGATTCTGCTGTGAGGAGCCTTAAAAGTTAGAGGACTTTACTTTTTGCAAATATACATTACCCACATAATCTCTGTACTTTATGATGGTTAAGGATGCTATCGCCACAGGTCCCTTTCAGAACTTCGACTTACTTAGTCAGGCTGCCTAGACTCATCTGTCATAAGGCATTTGTATTAATCATTGAACACTGCAGAATCTTTTGACTCATCTGCTTGGCATTTTTCTACCAGGGTGTACTTCACAAGATTTTGTTGTAATTGTTTCATTAATATTATGCTAAAATATACTGGTATAAATTAAGTTCTATTGTATAATCTGTTCCTCAAGGCCATTGGGAACCTGAAGAAGGATCCCCCACCCCACTACCAGTCGGCTTGTCTTCTATATTTGGAGAGAAGTGTATTTGATAAGCACTCGATAAACCAAGTTCACATTGCCAGTAGTAACAATGTCTAAGCTTACACAGAGCAATATAAAACTACTAATTTTCAATTCTTACTATAAGATAATGCTATATTAGTACTTTAATGGTCTAGGTAAATTTAATGCTATGTGAACTTTGTGTTGTATCTTTGGTGATAGTTGAGAACACTTAATGCTGTAATCGTATGTCCATTTTATTGATAACAAATGAAGGAAGAGAGCGTTACTACCAAAGCATTGATCTTTACTTTCCATTCTTGCGAATAAATTTTTATGTCAGAGAGAGAGAGTGTGTGTGTGTGTGTGTGTGTGTGTGTGTGTGTGTGTGTGTGTATTAATCCCAGGGCCTCTTGCCTGTTAAGGAAGTGCGCTATCAATGAATTATACCCTGCAAATCATTTAGATAATTAAGTGGTAAGAGTGTTATAATTGGCTAGGTGTAGTAGCACATGCCTTTAATCCAAGAACTTGAGAGGCAGAGGCAGGCATATCAGATCTTTGAGTTCAAGGCCAGCCATCTACATAGCAAGTTTAGGCCAGCTGGGGCTACAGGAAGACCCTGTCTCAAAAAAAGACCAAAAAAACAAATGTTATAATTATGAAATATTTTCTTAAGGTATGTAGAGAACAAGTTGTAGGGGTAGTTACATGCAAAATTAAACTTTTGAATTTACACATACTTTATAATACGGAGTATAGTGAGGGTATAGCTTTTAAGTTAGAGTATCTTTGAAGAATTAGCAAATGTTCATTCAAAGATCTCACCAATTTAAATGGTTTTCTAGTATTATGAGACGTGACCAAAAGGGATTCACTTTTGTCTCATAAAATATTGCCCTTTCATTGTCATTTAGACCAATAAAAATCACCCAATCTGTAAAAAGGGTGAAAGTTGTGAGTATTGGTTTTGTGACTTGATAATTTTTAATTCCTGTTTCTTGTGCGTTGACTCTGCATTATGTTTGGTGTGACTAGACTGTAATCATCTGTGTTCAGACTGGCTCATTATCAATCCTAAGGAAGAAACTTGGTTTTAACGGTAACATAACACAATTCATCTCAGAGACAAAAACCAAGTTCAGGGCTCTTCCATTTTCAACTGAAGGAGCATGGGGATCTTTTTTTTTTAATTATCTTCCTAGGGAATTGATATAGGGGATAGTTTAACTATTCCCGATGAATTCACAGAAGATGAGAAAAAGTCTGGACAGTGGTGGAGGCAGCTGTTGGCAGGAGGGGTGGCTGGCGCAGTCTCCAGGACAAGTACCGCCCCTCTGGATCGCCTCAAGGTCATGATGCAGGTGAGCTCAGTTTTGTGCCTGCCTTTGCTGTAAGAATGTTAATGTCTCAGCCTATCTTTAAAAATTGTATGTTATTGTTGGGGTTAAGAGCACTGGCTGCTCTTGCAGAGGACCTGGGTTTGGTTCCCAGCACCCACCTGGTGGCTAACAACTATCCATAACTTCTGTTCCAGGGGATTCAACACCCTGTTCTGACTTCCACTGGCATTGCATGACACAAGTGTACCTATCTACATGCAGGCAATACATTCATATACATAAAATAAAAATAATAAACAAAATATATATTTTTTAAAATTGTATGTTATTGCTATTAACCCTAAATACAACCCATGTTTAAGTATTTGGTAGTGTTCCACTAAACTTTAAATTGTTGGTACTTGTATGTGATGAAATTTTAGTCTTTGACATTCTGTGACTTCAAATGTTGATTTAAAAATCTCTAGCCATGCAGCGGTATCAGCATACACAAGTCCCATGCAAACTCAGCCAGACAAAAACCCAGCATTGAACTGGGGAAATGAATAGCAGATCCCAATCTTATATGAAGAAATATTGGAAACTGATACTGCTAGGGGAAGAAGAGTGGATCTTCCTAAAACAAGGGAATCTAGATAGGCTGACTAGACCTCAGTGGATGGACTTGTACTGGGGAATGTCTGGGGACACTGACTTGACACAGTGGGCCTTAACAGGGATGACAGAATATATGGGTTCCAGTGGGGGGGTATGGGAGGGTGCCAGTGGGGATGGGGGTATAAAGATGATTAAGATTGATTGAGATGTCCTGTGTGAAATACACAAAAATTCAATTAAAACAAACTTGAAAAAAAAAAAACACACACACACACACACACACACACACACACACACACACACACAAATCTCTAACCATGATTGTAAGCTTCTCATTGTTATTTGTTTTTCTTCTCTTTAGAATCTTAGTGAGAAGGATGTAACTTCTAAAATTATACAAAAATTTATACTAAAGCTGAGGTTAGCTGAAAAAGACCTGAATTATAGATAGACTTTGCTGTTTGCTGGTTTAGGCTGGCCATAACCAGAAGAAGGAAGGGAACAGAAAGAATATTCAGTTGTGTACACAATGGGAACCCATGTGCTACCCATGGTAGCTCAGTAAAGTAGGTGGTTTATCTTCATTGTAAACATGGGGAAACTGAGGCAATAGGAATTAAATTTTCCTTTATTAGAAAGTAGATGAGGATCAGCCTATCTTTATCACCAGAGCCTAGGGCTTTCACATGAGTCCTTCATTCTGGAGTGCGAATAAGGGTATCTAGCAAGGATAGCTATAATATGTAAACTCTGTAAGTACTGGTACAATGGAGTAACCTAGGGGAATAGGGTAGTTGCTTAAAAACATTAAAATTTTTTAATTCTTTATTTTCGTTTTATGTGTCTGAGTATTTTGCCTGCACATATGCCTCCTTCCCTCCCTATATAGGGGATACCAATTATTCCTAGTTTTAGATACAGAAATAATCTCTCCCATCATTATGTAATTTCTCAAACTTTCCATATTATATTTTCAAATATATCTTTTGGGAGTTATAAACAATATTGGAAAGAGACTAGAGAGTTGGTTTAGAAATAGATCAATAATATGCAGCAATATCTTATAACATTTTGCTTTTATTTTTTGGTTCATGGTTCCAAATCCATGAATATATTTGGAGGCTTTCAGCAGATGGTGAAAGAGGGAAGAATCTGTTCTCTTTGGAGAGGAAATGGCACAAATGTCATTAAAATTGCTCCTGAGACAGCTGTTAAGTTCTGGGCCTATGAACAGGTAATTGTTACCATCTGTGGAAGTTATTAGCAAAGAGGAGTTAGTAAACTGAATCAATGCAGATTAGCACGCAGTGCTCTGGGATTCTTTCCTACACACTCCATGAGGAGTTTCTTAGGGGAGATTAGAACCGAACTTGTGATTCCTCACAACTAAATTCTGGGAGTTTGAATTTCATAATAATATTTATAAAGAGACATTTCTCCCTCTCTTTTCTAAGTGGCTCTTAAAGATATGATTATAACTTATTCATTTTGAATCCCTGGAAATAAAACTATGAGGATGAATTCCTTTGTGTGAATGGAATTGAATTTAATGGGGAAAGCTCCAGAAGGGAGGGTCTGGCTTCCCCCTGCACTCAGGCATCCAGAAGTCCCCAGAACTTGTGAAGTGGATCCAGCCTTCCCATGCACTCCAGCACCCAGACCTCCCCAGAACTTGTGAAGTGGATCCAGCCTTCCCATGCACTCCAGCACCCAGACCTCCCCAGAACTTGTGAAGTGGATCCAGCCTTCCCATGCACTCCAGCACCCAGACCTCCCCAGAACTTGTGAAGTGGATCCAGCCTTCCCATGCACTCCAGCACCCAGACCTCCCCAGAACTTGTGAAGTGGATCCAGCCTTCCCATGCACTCCAGCACCCAGACCTCCCCAGAACTTGTGAAGTGGATCCAGCCTTCCCATGCACTCCAGCACCCAGACCTCCCCAGAACTTGTGAAGTGCTGTTTGTTGTATGAGTGAGTGGGAAGGGAAATGAAGGCCTTTGCTTCTCATCAGCTTCCCTGTTGACTTCATTGAGTGGACTGAAACAGCAGTCAGTTTTAGAGGTTGGTTTCTCCTGCAGTTATTAATGGAACCATAGGCGATAATCTGCAAGGTTATTTTTTTTCTGTCATTGACTCTGTCGTTTATCATGGCCTATATGGGCCCTGAAATTTAACTCTATCCAGAGTTTTTGTTTCATCTTAGGTTATTCTGGAAAGAATCAGAACACTTGAAAGTACCAAGTCCAGTAGTGTCCATTCCTCAACTTAGGAAATAGAGAAGCAAAGAAAAAGAGTGATAGACCATCACACCTCAGGACTTTCATTGGAACCCATTTTGGTGCAAAAATATTTTCCTGATGTGAATATTTGAGCATTGAGATTATGACTAATTTTATGATAGGAAAGCCAGAGCCTAAGATAAATATTAAAAAACAATGTCATTATTTCAATATAAGGAAGTTTGGTGTAATTGAAAGTCCATGTCTGTTGTACACAGCTGTGCACATTACACTTTATGCCGTTTGTCTGATTCTTGCACTGGCTATCCAACAGGCCTGTCTGCTTACCTCCAACCAGGCCTCCCTCCTCACTCACTGCTTTTTGATCTCTAGATGCTGACTTTTCTTTTCAGAGGAAGCTCTTTATAGTGTAGTATAGTGCCATTATAGTCTCTGGGGCATATGATTTCACTCAGTTTTCTCCCCTCTGCAGAAGGTCCATTCATCCACTAGTGCTTTCTGGACACCATCCTCATGTGAGAAGCATTTCCTGAGCCTCCCAACCTAAACCAGAGCCTCCCCTGCCAAGCCCCATTAGAGTGCTGACTCCCAGAATAGCTGTTTGCCATTGGATAATGAATAGAGTGCTCGTTGTCCCCCCAGTGAGCAGCTCTGTATTACTTCAGGGTAGATATTATGCCACATATATTCTCAGAGTTCTCAGAGGGCCTAGACACCTTGCTTCTGGATTCAGATAAGTTTTGGTCATTGAATTGCTAGAAGGTGAGAAAACTAAGCAAAGGATGTTTTCCCTTTGAGATGTAGATTTCTTACACACACCATTAAGGCTGGGTATTGCTTGGGTTGTCCTTATCCGTTATCACAGCAGAGCTGTTGTGTTGTTGATGGAGTAGCAGTGTTCAGTGTTCTTATGATCTCAGCATCTATCTCTGTACTAACTGCCCTCCATTCTGATATTTTTCTCCTTCTCTCTGTACCTATACATTTGTCCTGTGTGCTGTATATCTCTGTGCCCCTCCCCCCGTCTCTCTGTGTGTCTCTATATCTCTCTCCAAGGGCACCTCAACTCAACATGTCCAAAACATCAGTCATCCTTCCTCTGCCAGACCTTTCTATTCCAGCGCACACACACACACACACGTTCCTCTTTGTATGTCACAGTGGTGAACTGTCCTTTAATGCTTTATTCAGGAGTTACTTCCCCCAGGAAACCTGCATCTCTAGAGTTTCTTCCTTTCGTTCTTTTCCACACTGAATTCAGTGTGAACTTCAGTATTTAGTCAGTGTCTTTTGTGAGACTGTGGGCTTCCTTAGGCTGCAGCTGTTTGCTTTCAGGTTCGTATTCCCAACACCTTGCCAAGTGCCAGGAAGTCCCTACTGAATGAGTGAAAAGAACCCCCAGGGCTTGAATGGGGGCTCAAGCCTGTCAGAACCCATCTCCAGCCACTAAGATGGGCATTTCAAGTAGCATAGGGACAGAAATGTGGGTACAAGAAAGTGTCCTTTACTGAGGCAGCAGGCCGTTCCCTGAGCCTCCGGTGGAGTTTCTAGAAGGACAATGACAAAGGCAGACTGGACACACAGGCAGGAGTTGAAAGTAACAGGAATCTAGATTTCCTCCTGAATATGGTAGGGGAGTGTTGAGGTATCTTGTACAGAGAAGTAAAATGTGTAATTTATATTTAAGGAAGACCATGTGGCAAAAAAAAAGATGTGGAAGTATTGGCAGAGGGTGAGGCT